CTCACTGTCTCATAGTGTGACATGACAACACTAGTGTGCTAGTCAGCAGTTTTCGTAGTGCCCTAGTAAGGCTTTCTCTTTGTGTCTTGTTCTCGAAAAGCGTCTCACGTTGCTCATGGCTTGCTTTGTTCACTCTCATTTACATTCTAGCAAGTCACCCGTAGACCAACAGCAGCACAATGCAGCCTGCAGAGGGTCACACGCAAACACACACACACTGCAACGTCACACTTTCTACAGATCATGTTATCCAACAGCACTAAACACACACTAAAACTCACACTCGGTCAGGAACAAACACTGTCTTGGCAACAGCACTGCACACATGACCTTCTCAAAGAAACACATACACACACACACACACACACACACACACAGTAGATGAGCCAGATTCACTGCAGCCAACCCATAAATCTCCTCGTGGCCCAAACATCCTGAAGGATCTCCAATGCTTCACCAGTGTTTGTGCATTTTTCACCTCGGTGTTTATGTGTGTTGTTGCGTTTCTGGTTTGTTCAGTCCATTATGTCTGTTTGCCTGTCAGCGTGGAGCGCCTCTGCATCGAATGCATGCCACATCACGCATGTACAACTGTGTGTGTTTGCACGGACTTATGTTTGCTTAACCGTGAGACCTGCACTTCGGCAAACAGTCGAGATTGAGTGTGATTGCAGACTTGTAACTTTCTGTTTGGAGAAGTGTGCGGTTGTGTGTGTTGACAGATAGATGATAGATAGACATATACACAGATAAACGGACAATAGATAGACACACAGACTGACGATGGATGGATGGATGGATGGATGGATGGATGGGAGCAGTGAGGTGTCAGATGTGCAGCGCACACACACACAGAGGGAGAATGCTTCATTAATGAATATTCGTGTCCGGCTGGCATGCCGTTCTTCCATCTGTGGCATGTCACGCAGTAAGTGTTCTCTTCATCTTCATTGGACCTCATTCACTCGCTCTGTTTGAAATCGAGCAGATGTGTGTCTCCAATTCAATTCGTTTGATTGTTCCTGCGGCTGTCTGCTTCCAAAGAGCCAGAAGAACAGCACAGAGTCATTTCATTGGTTTGAAATAATCCCCATTTAATTAAATTGAACTGAGTTCATTTCATATTAGTCTGTTTCACGTTGCTCAGTTTCGCTGCGACATAACAGGTATACCAAAGGTTGTGCAAAAGCAAATTCACTTAAATTATCTGCCATCAGATGTTATTCTGTCCATGGCCTCAGATCATGAAACTCATTTGATGAAATTTGAAAAAATTAAAATAAAACGAGCAGACGAAACAACTAATGAAACTGAACATTTACGGGAACACATAGGGCCGGGTGATATGGCCAGTAATATTATCACAATATTTTTTCCATATCATATGATATCGATATTTATCACGATATTCCTGTACTGTTAACGGGGAAGGAAATACTTTCCACATGTTTGTAAGACCTTGAGAATAAATGTAAACATAACTTTTTTCAAATTGAACTCCTTTAATTTAGGGCCCTGTTGTGAAATCCATTTTATTTTCCCCTAAATTACTTTTTTTTCCCCCATTTTATTTTCTCAGCTATGGAAGCCTGTTTCTGCCACTGAATTAAAAATAAAAAAGGTAATTGCGACTTTTTATCTCGCAATTCTGACTTTTCTCATAATTGCGTGATATAAACTCGCAATTGCGAGTTATAAAGTCAGAATTGCGAGTTTATATCTCACAATTATGACTTTACATCTCGCAATTCTGACTTTAGAACTCGCAATTGCGAGTTTATACTGTCTCTCTCAATTCTGTGAAAAAAAGTCAGAATTGTGAGATAAAAAGTCGCAATAACTTTTTTAAATGTTTTATTCAGTGACGGAAACGGGCTTCCATAGGTTTCTGTGTTTTATGATTCAGTACAAATTCATCATATAAATAGTGTCTAATGAAATGAATGAATTAATCTTAAAGGTGGGGTAAGTGATTTCTGGTAGCCAATGTTGATATTTCAAATCACCAAAGCAAACACGCCCCTACCCCAAAAGGGTCTCACCCCTATTTTGACAGCTCGGCTCGGCTAATGTCCATCCTCCAGTGCACTAAACGCTCTCTCCTCCACATCATGAGTAGACACGGCCCTCACTGCTGATTGGCTACAAGTTTGTTTCGGTACTCGGCCCGACTCAGTTTTCTAAAGCTGTTTTGAAAAAATACATACCCCACCTTTAAAGCGTTTGATCATTATTTTTTTTTAATTAATTTACAACAAAACATCGCATTTTTATTATCAAGCAAGACGATGCAGAACTGTATAAATTCATGAAAAATTAATTTGTTGTATGATAATCCTTAAAATAATATTACTTTGATAATTATATATTTTATGCAATAGTAATATATTTCTGTCATAATTTCTTCAAGTTAAACCAGACTTTTTTCCCCCCTCGCCTGTTAGATTAATCCATATTGAGTAAAAATGTCCAGAGCTATATCATCGTTATCCACATAAATTTGATCGTGATTTCGATATCACCTAGCTGCACACACTATAAAACTAAGTAGATTTGAGCTGCATATATTTATATTAACTTGATATTTGGCACAAACCCTAAAGACATGATGGAAATGACAAAATTTCATATCAATATGTCACAGCGTTCATAAAATAAGCCCTTTCTGTTTGGCTCTTAGGTAAGTAATTTGAGGTTTGTCCTAAAAAAAAAGACTTGAAGATTGGACTGAGTGGGGAAATAGGAAAAGAGAAAAAAAAACCAGCATGTAAGTGAATTGGTTGAGAATAGCACAGTAAAAAAAAAATAAAAAAAAATAAAAAAACTGTAAAATTGTTAACTATCACCATAACCAACTTTGCACAGTTGGTGACACTAAAGGGTTTGAACGACGGACCACAAACTTAACACTAAGAAAATTGAAATGGAGAATAAGATACTCAACAGATACAATCAGCACCTGAACTCTAAAGCATTCGCTAGATAACCACAGAGCACCATGTAAATACTATGGTAATCTTTCATCTGGTTCTGCCACATTTTGGGTCGACAGGTTCACAGACTCCTGAGGCCGAAACAGAAAGTGTTTTGAGCGGTTTGGGTTGTGTTTTAACAGGTCCTCTAATGTTGCAGCGACAGACAGATCAAAAGATGAATGTTAAAGATGAATGCGAAAAACAATCTCATAAAAAAAGAGACGCGTCTAGACCTGTTCGTCTAAACCTAGTCTTAACCCCACTATACAACTCACATCCTAAACAAACATTCAATAGCATGCAACAACATTCAAAGGGTTCTCAAGAAATCTAAAGAAAAACCTCTCTTGTTGGAGAAGCTAAAGTGAAATTGCAGGTAGTTTGCTACAGGCCTTAAAAACGAGGAGATTTCATTTCGGAGGACAGCAACACAAATGTACACCAAATACAGTGGGTACGGAAAGTATTCAGACCCCCAGTATAATCAAACACAGCTGGACTCAAATGAAGGTGTAGAACCATCTCAAGTATGATCAGAAGAAATGGACAGCACCTGAGTTAAATATATGAGTGTCACAGCAAAGGGTCTGAATACTTAGGACCATGTGATATTTCAGTTTTTCTTTTTTAATAAATCTGCAAAAATGTCAACAATTCTGTGTTTTTCTGTCAATATGGGGTGCTGTGTGTACATTAATGAGGAAAAAAAAATAACTTAAATGATTTTAGCAAATGGCTCCAATATAACAAAGAGTGAAAAATTTAAGGGGGTCTGAATACTTTCCGTACCCACTGTATATCTAATAAAATATACAAAAGCCCTAAAGAAATCAGTGATGAACGGCAGTAATACAATCACCATTCAGAAACCGATTACACAAAGTGCAGCGACCGCAGGGAACACTGTTGAATGACTCAAATTAATCAGTGTTTTTTTAATTAGTTCATTGAAGTGAAGCAAATTGTTTTGCTAAAATTAAAAGATATTTGAGAGAGGCAGTTGACAAGACCATCTCAACTTGTAAGGTTCCAAGCGCAATTAAAGGCAAAAAAATCATTGTTGGGGAAAATAAAACGTCTTATTGGAAAAAAACAAAGCACCATTTAGCTGAAGATTCTGAAGCGGTTTATCACAGCAGTTGTTCCAGATTCTTACAATAAGAGCCAACATGTCATTAACACTTGTAGTTTTATTGAAACTTATTACACAGACCAAACAGAAAACAGAAACGGAACAAATTAAAACGAAACGTCAACAAACACAGCTTGTATTTATCAGAAGCAAACTCTTAGTGTCACTGTACACAGATACAAACCGACGAGTAAAATAACATTAACTGTACAATCCAAACTTTTTCACACACACTCAGTGACCCCATATGGAATATAAAACGGTTCAATCAAGCAGTATTTCTGAGAGGTTAAATAACAGAACTGGGCCACACTGGTCCACTGGCCACTGGTCAGGACGAGCAACTCTACATTTATTTCCAAAAGGAGTCCTAGAGGAACATTGCAGCGCCTGAACCAACGCAAACAAATGAACTCCTGCTGGATGAGTTCAGATAGTTCAGGGTTTGGGGACTAAAGTCCGTCAAAAGCTTCGGGACTCAACTGGAGAGCAATCAGAGACTATTTTGAGCCAAAATGATCTAATAATCGTCTAGTATGTGTTGGGGAAGACGATGACGATTAACAGAACCCTGCACGGAAGGGTCTCACAACCACAAGAATCAAGAAAAGCATTGGTGAGGTCAGACATTCACGTGTATTTGAGCGCATCTGTGCAATATTGGTCTGCACAGGCCGGTTAAAAGTGCGAGTGACCTCAAGACCATGGCAGAACATTCCCAAACTCCAGCCACCATTATCACCACCGTAACTCATGCAGTGGTTTAAGATCTTAAAACACCAAATGAGAAGGACCTGGACGTGCCTGGAGTGGGAAAGCCATTGCTTTCTAGGCTTTACAATCCAATTGGTGCAAACCAATAAAGAAGGTTAAATGTACAAAATGCATGTTAGGCTTTACAATCCAATTGGTGCAAACCAATAAACAAGGTTAAATGTACAAAATGCATGTTAGTGTCTCTTTAGGAGCGATGCATTCTGATTGGCTCATCACACTAGCAGACCAACATTAGTCATTCAGGATGTTATCCATATCCACACAAATACGGAGTCTTTAATAGCTTGTCAAGTTACAAAACTACTAACCTTCATCTAAGCACAACCTATACGAGTTTTGGTAAAACCCAATCATAGCACTACTAAGTAGTTCCTCCTCCTCCAAATATTATGCAAACACATTCAAAGCTTTTGGGTTGGCAGTATTAAAACAGCTTAGCATGGTAAAGTTACTACTAACATGTTCAATGTCACATCAATGAAGGGATTTCACTGCAATCAAAAGTAGTTTCTCAATCCTAAAGCAGAAAACGGTAATTTTTTTTAATGCAGATTTGGTCAAGAATGACGAGATCTCGGAGTACGGTGGCTGAAGTCGGGGGTTCGTGCGACCGAGAGTCATTTGTAAAGCAGAGATTCATTTTCATGATGAGTCTTAACCATTGTTCTGGACTTCGAAAATAAAACTAAGGGTGCATTAAAGGTCAGAGGATCTACTCTATATCTCACGGTGAGCATGCATGTGTGTCCGTGTCGGTCACGTTTAAGAATGGTCTCCGTTGGCGCTGTCTCCATCATCCTCTCCTTCCTCCTGCTCACCCTCTTCTTCCTCCTCCTCGTCATCCTCCCTTCCTCGACTCTTGATCTGCACAAACCCAAGGCGATGGGTGAATACGAGCGAGTCAATGATTACGTGATTTCTGACGCTGTTGTTCCTCCTTCACTCACCTCCTCTTCCTCCAGCAGGTCTCCCTCGTCCTCGTAGTCGTTCATTTCCGTGCTCTCGCGCTCTTTCTTCCCGCTGGAGTGCTGCGGTGAGGCTTCATCTGGTTTAGAGCTCTTCGCCTCTGTGCAGAAACATGAGGGGAGAGTGATCAGAAATGACTAGTGTTGCTGCGTTTGGTCAGTAGTGTTATGGCCTGTACCGGATTTCTTGCTGTGGTCTCTCTCCATGCACTCCAGGCTCTCCAGCAGATAGTCCACTTTGTGTTTAATCTGAGTCAGTTCTTTCTTAATGGTTTGCAGATCGTCAGCTCTCACTGAACACACACAGGGATATGAATGGTGGTTACTAAACAGCTGAGACTTTGAGTCATCCAAATGTACACTACTCTTTAAAAGTTTGCTGGTGAGATTTTGTAATGTCTCTGAAAGAAGTCTCTTTTGCTCACCAAGGCTGCATTCATTTGATAAAAAATGCATTAAAAACAGTAATATTGTGAAACATTATTAGAACTTAAAATAACTGTTTTCTATCTGAATATACTGTACATTAAACTAATTTATTTCTGTGATCAAAGCTGAATTTTCAGCATCATTACTCCAGTCTTCAGTGTCACATGATCTTCAGAAATCAGTCTAATATGCTGCTGATTTGCAGTATTGAAAACAGCTGCGATTCTTCATATTTGTGAAAAAAAAAAGTTTGGGTAAGATTTAAAAAATATATATAAATTAATACTTTTATTCAACAAGGATGCATTAAATAGTTTAAAAGAGACAGTAAAGACATTTATAATGATACAAAACATTACCGTTTAAAATAAATGCTGCTCTTTTGAATTTTGTTCAAAGAATCTTGGAAAAAATAATTTTTCCACAAAAATAATCAAGCAGAAAAACTATTTTCAATACTGACTATAATAAAGAACCATTATTAATAACGGAGCACCAATAATAATCATTTTAATAAATAAAGCAGCAAATCAGCATATTAGAATGATTTCTGAAGGATCATGTGACACTGAAGACTGGAGTAATGATGCTGAAAATTCAGCTTTGATCACAGAAATAAATTACATTTCAAAATTAATTCACATAGAATACAGTTATTTTAAATGGTAATAATATTGTACAATAATACTGCTTTTACTGTATTTTTGTTCAAATAAATGCAGGCCAAAGAGTATAAGACCGTTCTTTCAAAAACAAAAACAAAAGTTCCAAACCTTTGACTTATATACACAGTATATATATATAGAATATTATAGTTATAATATATATATTAAGATACTAAAAACATTTTAAGTAGTGAACATAGAAAATAAAAGTAAATAAGAATTGTAAAAAAAGAAAGACAAAAAAAATAGGATATATAAAATGGAGAATATAGCAGAAAAGAAGTGTGTCTCACTGGTGCGGGACGTGCGCTGGCTGCTTTTGGAGGAGAAGCTGGTTTTGGTCCTGCGGCTGCCGCCGGCGCTCACGCTCACTCGCGCCCGTTTGGAGGGAATCACCGCCCGCGAGAGAGGAGGAGGAGGAGGAGGGGGAACGCGCGACGGGTACGAGTACATCCTGAAAACACACGCTCAGATTAACACACACCTTCATGGAATCATGCAATCCCAGTTCAGACAGACATTCAAAGCCTTTCATGAATAATAATAATAATAAAAGCTCTTTGCAAAGCGTTTGATCAGTGAATCTGTAAGGAGAGCTCACCTGTCATAGTAATCTCTCTGAAAGTCATAGTCCAGATCAAACGAAGAACTGCTGGAGGAGAAAACAATTCAATGATTAACATGTGGAAGTATTTTTAAAGTATTTTTACCCCTAAAAATAAATAACAATAGAATGAAAAATATAAAACGCAAACCTGTACATATCTCCCGCAGAGCGTTTGATAGTCTTTGAACGATGAGGTTTTGGCTCACCAGCCAGATTAATATCTAAAAATGCAGAAAGATTGCACATACACACAAAAAATTTACATTGTGGCCTAGTGGTCACGAGACAAGTCACTCTGGATAAAAGCATCTGCTAAACTAATGTAAAATGTAAAAAAAAAAAAAAAAAAGGTGATTGTATACGTAAGCAGGGAGAAATTTAACAGACATCTAAAACATTATAAAACAATTATTATTTGAACTATTACACTGGAGCAAACAGATCCATTCAAATAACTTTGGAATGGCCATATTTACAACATTAGGACACAAAACAGCAACACGTCAAAAATTTCAATTTGCTTAGAGTTCAGACTTTGGTCAAATTTAAAAAAATCATGTGGAAATGTCTTGATCCCATTTCCCCTCTACATTATCCAAATCTGGGTAAATATTGCAAAAACATAGCCAGGGCATATCTCACCCATAAAATTCAAGGAAATCAATTAAATTAAAATAATAATACAATTAGAAATGCATAAAATTGCATAAAAAATTAGGAATACTCTTAGATTAAGATTTTTCATTGTGACTGCAGGTTTTTTTATTACTCAATATGATAGTTAAATCATTTTTTTCCATATTACACCAATGAGAATTTGGATGAAAGCATGCTAAATCGTCATACACTGAACAAAAATATAAACGCAACACTTTTAAGTGCTCACTAACACAGATTTAGACAGATTTGTGAACAATATTTGAGAGAAATAGGCCTTTTGTGTACATAGAAAAAGTTTTAGATCTTTGAGTTCAGCTCATGAAAAATGGGGGCAAAAACAAATGTTGCGTTTATAATTTTGTTCAGTGTAATTATGTCAGAATAAAAAAAATAAAATAAGAAGTATTTAAACGAAATATAATATATATAATTCCTTATTGTTTAGATTTTTGGTGGACACATTCTTGACAGATTTTGTGAGATAACCAAAGACTAAAATATTTACAAAAATGTGAGGGGTGTACTAACTTCTGTGAGATACTGTATAAGGTGGCTTACTCTTATTAATATGAACGGAAGTGCAACGTGAAATATGCCAGAATAAGTCCCGCCTTCTAAGTAAAACAGCCAATCGCCAATTGGTTATGTCATCGCATCACTGCAGCTGCCATTACAAGCTGCCAGATCCTTTAGAAATAGACCTGAGATGACACACTTTGAATCGCACATGTGCATTGCCTGGACCAATTAGAAGATATAAGACAACATTTATGGGGCAATTCATGTTGGATTTACTTGCCGATTTCAAATGTATTTATTATTTAAATGAGAGTTTGGCCTGCAGTTTTTGAGAATTCATTATTTTGCCATTCAAGTAGATAAGAGTTGATCTCGCATGCCTGGAGGCATTGCAAATAGGGCCTTGAAAAGGACTTTGGATTAACTTTAAAGCTGCAGTCTGTAATTTTTTTTTTTTTTCAGTCTGTAACAATTTTTGAGCAAATACATAACCAGCCAGTGTTCAAAATCTCCTTATCTTAACCCCATTCACAACGGTAAGCTTGTAATAATGTTTTATAATTTAAGTGGTACTGAGAAATACAAGCATGGCGCTGCGTCATTACGTCACGTCGGCAAACACAGAGGAGTCCCGGATAGTAGGCTAAATATCCAATCAGTCTAAATAAGCTCTTTTTGCACTACAAATCATTACATCTGCTGTTGTTTACTTCACTGGTTTTCACTCTATCTGCCGTGTGCTGCTTTATATATATTTTTTATTTTTATTTTTTATATATTTTTTTTTACATTTGACCTTATTTGTATATTTGTATAGTTGTATTTTATATTTAATCTGTATATCTGTATTTATGTTCTACTGTTAGTGTTATCTGTATGCACCAAGGGTCTGAGAGTAACGCAATTTCAATTCTCTGTGTGTATGTGCTGTACATGTGGAAGAATTGACAATAAAGCAGACTTGACTTGACTAAATCACGTGTGTGGATGCTGCAGGTGGCAGATCATTTATAGCCTTTTCTCACAGCAGCTGGAATAATTAAACTTGTCATTATAGAACGAGTTGTAAGCAAAATTAAATAGCTTTTTGAGGTTAAAAGAACAATTTATTTCGATGACATTCGAATAGTATGCCAATTAGAGATTAGACTTTACAGAAATTGAAATCTACAGATAACGCTAATATACACTAAATACATGTAGTCACGCAATGCTGATGTTGTTAACATTAACAATTTGAGAACAAAGTATAACAATAATAATAATTTGCACGGTTTGACGTGAGCGAAGCAATCGTTAGATTTAATCAGCATTGGTAGCATGATTTATTGTAAAACTTTTTTTTTTCAGTTGGTCAGAACAAAACTGGCAGACATTTTACTTGTTCAGATGACATTTTCCAGTGAAAGTTCTTATTTTGGACATACTTCCAAGACGTAGTATCTGTATTTCCGTGCTGGAGCCGTGCCGATGCACAACCCATGTAAAGAAAACAATTCTGCAAATAACTGCAATTGCAGGTTTCAGACAGAGATGGCGACAAAGAGGCAAAACTTACAGACTGCAGCTTTAAGATTGTAGCGTCCTCGGGTAACAAAAGGTAAGAAATGAACCTGAGATCTACAATGACCTGCATCAAAGAGATCTTCACAGTGCGACGTTACTCTACTTACCGAGCACCTGTCCGACGATCATCCTCCCATCTTCACCCCCGACTGCCGCTCTGGCGTTCCTCTCGTTGGCGTACTGGACGAACGCGAAGCCTTTGTGCACGGAGCAGCCCACGATCTTCCCGTACTTACTGAAGATGGCCTCCACATCGGCCTTGGTCACCAGCATGGTGTTGAGGTTCCCGATGAAGACCCGGGAGTTCAGCGAACGCGGATCCGTCTTGTTGGTGACGTTGCTGGCCATCAGGCTGCTGGTTGTGGGGGAATGACTGCGCAAAAAGAGAGGAATAAAGGGGGTGCAGAAGATTGACAGGGACAGGAAGGACAAATGAGAAATTAGCATGTCTATAACAACATTACTAGCCTCGATAGCTACCCTTCCATCCAAAGTGCGAAGTTAACTTGTGAAAAATTGGAATTTTGCACGACCCAACTGAAACTAAAGCACCGTTTCCATTCCATGTGTTCAAAAGAACAAAAACATAACTTTCTGGGAAATCTGCACAACATATCAGTGCTAAAAAAAGTTGCTGCAAATGCAACAGACAAAATGCAATAGCAACCACCGCCAAGAAATCTTGGCCTGATGTTTGGGAACACAACCATTACAGTTCTGGGAGGTAAATGTACCAAACCAAATCATTTTGATTACAGACTTTGGCTCAGGCATTTCAGAATTACTAAAACAATATTTTAGATTATGTGCAATGCGATTGGTCTGCTAGTTAGTCCAGTTATCCAATCACGTGATCAGTTTTTGTTGCGCTTCGAGGAATTTGTTCAGTAAATGTGTTTCTATTGGCGTTTGCGTGCATGTCTTCCAATTGGATTAAAAACATTTCTTTTTTTGGTGCATTTTAAGGTTGTATGTACATGCAATTTTTTGTGATATCTCAATTTTTATACAAATATGTGGATGGAAACATAGCTAGTGAGAATGGATTAGAAAAAAAATGTAGAAATCTTCTTTAGATTAGAAATCTAAAGTCAACATGAAACAGTATCCGCAACACATTTTACTTTCATAATTACATGTTTCTGGTCTTATTGTTAGTGATTCAACACATGTATTACTTTAAAATAAATGCGGCCAATTTTGGTTTCATGTTGACTTTCTCACACTTTAAAATAGAGTTATGTTCCATTATTTTGAACATTCCCACAGTGCAAGACATTTGGGGGAAGGACAAACATTTCAAGATATATAAAGTTTGTAATCATCAAGATAAAGTATACATTAGTTTCATAAGGTATATCACCTAGTATATTTAAAATAAGAACCACAGCAGTCATATATGAAGCTTTCCTGTGCTATAATGTGCATAGATATACAATTCAAATCAGAAGATTCACATATCAACTAGACTGGCGTTTATGTTGTAGTTTTAAGCAGTTTGTCGGTCAAATGTGTCACAGGGGATGAAGTATATATCTGTATGAACCAGGGCTGGGCAGGTAATGTTGTAATGTATGGCCAGCTGAGATTTCACACATGCAAACTAAAATGCGGAAGTGAAACTAACTGCCTGCTGCATTCAAGCTTAAATACAGAGGCATTATAATATTGCTTTGCTTTGTTTATGGGTTTGACGGAGTAAAATGGGTGGAAATGCACAAAACAGTGAATTCACTGAGGAAAATGGATCTGGTTGTGTGTGTGGATCGCTTTCGGTGCTTACTACTTGTCTGAGGGGTAAACTGGCATGTTTGAATTGGACTGGGCAGTGTTTTGGTGGTATTTTTGGATGCTTTTGGGACACACGGCCTACAAGACCGCCACATAACGTGCACATTGAGTTATTTAAGTGTGCTAAAGGGGATGTTGGTGGTTGAATAGTCAGAACTCACTCCATTCTGTCTGTAATTCAGGTTGAGTCGTCTGCCTGCCTGATTCTGTTGGAGAGAAGAGGGTTGTTATTGGACACCATTGAGCTGCTGCTCAGCAGTGCATTGTGGGTGAAGGTCGTACTGTGTGGGTGGGTGATGTAACCCACCGCACTTTCACGGACATCACACCAATCTCAACACTTTCCCAAGGTCAAACAAACAGTCTACTGTTCGGATGCTGCCACCCAGTGGTTGATATACACAAGCAAAGAAATTGAAATCCAGACAGATATCCCAAGTGAAACAGAACAGCCATGTCACCATAACGTTTAAACATGCTCAATGTCACATAATCCCTAACTAAAACCCTTTAATTTAAGGGAAAATTTTCAGTGTCAAATAGAGACACGTTTCACAGTCATGTGACACAATCAAATCCTACGCTAATGGAAAAAAAGACCTTTCACACCACCGTCAAGAGATTAAAAAGGTCTATTAAAAGAAGCTCTCGGCACAGCTTAAGACACACCATTAAGTCTGTATTATAGCTGAACAAAACGATGAATATCAGTGTGTCTGTAGGAATTTTCAGCTTTATAGGGATGAAAGCAGGTGAAGCTGTCACTACGGGCCAATTATAGAACGAGTCAGAGGTCAATGCAAATTAAAATCTCCAAATCTCCTCAGGCACTATGATGGATAGCAGGACAAAAAACACAAATTTAAGGTAAATTAGGCCCTGTACGTTTCTATAATTGGTATAAGTTGCACAATAACAGCTACCTTTGCTTCAGCAATTTAAGGATTAGTCAAGACTTTTTCAATGTCTCAATTTTTCATTGTCAGCATTACACAAAGTCAAAAGCAAATTATGTTACAATTACCCTTGTTTTCACCCCTGCCAATTGAAGATTCAATAGTGTAAACATTGATAATTTAGAATCTTAATGATAGTTCATGGGAAATCAATGAGTTTTAAATGTGAAATTTAGATGCGTGTTCTTGAAGTTAACTACAACAATCTATCATGACAAGATGAAGACTTGTCTCATCTAGAACACAACTGTACTGGGAAAAACAGAAATACATTTAAATTAGAAGTAATAAAGCACTAGTACACAAAGTTAGAATTGTCCTCTTTAGTACACTACCATTAATCCAAAAATTAGGCTAGACCTCATTGTCAAAGGTTTGGATTCTCTCTAGGAGTGGTTTAGCAAACTCTAGCATGTGGTTTAGGCCTGTTTGCTGAAGCTGATTTAGACTATGAACTATGAAATGTCTTTAAAAAATACACAAGTCTACAGACTATTTAGAACGTATTTACTCTAAGGCATTTTTAAAGGTTATGGAAGAAAGTAAAGGCTACACACAGCAAACAAGAGTCTAGTCTCCATAAAACACTTTTCAGGAAGATAGGCGGAAGTGGAGAATAAAAGAAAAACCAACTTACGGATTGACGTGGCTCAAAAAAAGCTGCCTCAAAAACTACAAAAAAAGCAAAATGAATAAAATCAGAAAGGAACATCTTTAGCTCTCTAAAGCAGGGAAAATGTTTTTTTTTTTTTTTTTTTCCAACCGAATGCTTTAGGGTCGACAGACCTGAGATCAACATTATAGAAGTAAGCTTTGTGAAAACTGATTTGGTTTGACAAATTTGGTGTAAAATGTGGACTTGAGAATAGAAATGTGACCTCCATGACTTTAGAGCAAAATGTGCATGTCGTAAAGGCATCAACGTTAGCATGCAGTATTTAGTCTAGACCAGGGTTTCCCAAAGTGCGAGTCGAATATTCTGCAACAAAACAGGGCAATGCAATAGCACTGGATCACTCCCATTTCATTACGCTTCACTGTTCACACCATAAAATGGGTCACAGGTCATAAAATGGGAATTATCATCCAGTCACATTGCAACACTTGCTTATGGTGTAAAAAAGCCGAGAAATTGACTCAATTACAATATATACACAATTATTTATATATGTTCCAACCTTGTCTTCTACAGTCAAATGCTTTGTAAAGAAATGGTAAGATTAATCATAAAACTTAGAAATATTACTAAAAGTGGTGGATAGGTTGGTTATACCCAATATATTGGCGTGTGTATGATTCTTATGTTTGGGAACCCGTGATCTACACATATTACAGCTAAAAACAAACCAGACTTTAGTTGGAATATGATATTGGATGTGTGCCTAGTGGGGAACTGTGAGGGGGACATGATTTGGTGCATTTCACATAGTCATACAAGATACACATTTACTGGAGCCAAGATAAGAAATACTTGTATATTCTACATCAAGCATAGAAAGAAGACACAGCTAAATTAAACCATTTTCTAATGTAAAGTTGCATTGCACATATTGTTCAAGTCTTAAATGAATCAGTCAGTGTGGGTGAGGGGGGATAAATATATAATTTTCATTTCTTTAAGACATTCTACAAGACAGCTATGAGTTTAATGGGCTGAACTTTGGGAATACACACAAATATGATGCAATTTTGAACTCATACAGCATGAGGCAGTTGAGCACTTGAGCAAAGGCAGTAATACTTTCTTTGGCCCACTGGGCCTTCTTCAAACATTTATTTAATATTCATGCAACCAGCTCAATTCAACATCCTTGATGTACTGTTAATGGAAAGATTGACCGTTTACATGATTCTGCACAGACCTGGGGTGCAAATGTAAAAAGTGTTAAGTAGTCCATGCATTGATATAGATTACTGCATGAGACGGAAAACGTGTTTTCTCAGTCCATTAAAAGTGCCGAAAACAATTCAAAACCTGCAAAAACGACCCTGGAAAAAAAAAACACTGGAACGAAACGACCCTCAAAAATAAGAGCAAAAATAACGTGCAAATAATCGTATTAAAAAGGACAAGCTCACTCCAAATGTCTACAGCCGAATAGAAATAGTCTACTCGTGTTGAGAAAATCAGTCTGTCATGTTAAAAATGGACTTAAAACGCGTTTTTATTCTGAATCCTGGACATGGAGGGAAAAACGACCCCATCTTGAAAACACAACCACCGGTCCATATGAGCAATTTCCTCCACATTAACTTCAAAAATCAAACAAACCAGCTGCTCTACCAGTAGTCCTGCAAAAATGAGGTGAAAAATAACTCCTACTTTGAAAAATAAAATAAAAAATCGTGCGGTCCTTTCAAAGCATATGTTTATTTTTCTTTCTTTTTTTTCCACTGCTCTACCAACGGCATCACACAATGTACGCCACCAACGCCAAGCAGAAAATGACCAGAAAAATGCATTAAAAATAAAAAACACAACAAAAATTCTCCAAAGATAGTTCAAAATCAGTCAAAAATAAAAAAAAAAGCGACAAAAATCTCTCGAATCAAAATACTCACCGGGAGTTTAAGACTAAAAATGATTAAAATTCGGTGCTGTACTGTTTAGTGGATACAGTCCATACCAGCTCGTTCAGTAGACACCCACCAACAGACGAATGCACGAAATGGCGTCGAGCAAATACGCACCGGAAACAAGCCCCGCCCCGCTCCACACATCCTCGCATCTCATTGGCTACATTTCAACGCGCTAAAGAAACACGTGGAGTTGATTGGTGGATTTACGTGTCATTCTCTTGTACGTCTTTCTTTTTAAATAAAGTCCGCGTTTGATTGGTGAATGAATGCAGGCTTTGGTTCGCGGCATCTTCCCTCAGAGTGCTAATCTCTTTACAAAAGCTTTAATCCCATTTATAAATGTATAAATACTGTATCAATACAGTTAGCAGTTCGTTAAATATGAAATAAAGTTACAAAAATGTATTATAGTAACCACATGTTGTAACAAAATAATTATTTTTACTAATTTAAAACGTGGTAAATTGCCCTGTCATTAAAAGTAAACCAATTTAAGTGGCTCAAATATTCTGAAAACACTTTAGGAAATACTGTATTATTAATACTGTTGTAATTTACAATAGTATTTTGATATTGATCTGTTTCAAGCATCTGTAAACCATTAGCACAAAAAAAAAGCATTAAAAGCATAAACTTAACTAAGAAATTTAAATGACTAAACAGTTACTTACTGAACAATGCCATTGAAAGATCATTGTTAATCACAATTTTATTGAATACATTTATTTGAAATTCTGAATCACAGGAAATTATGGCAAAAACAATGCAGTTTTGTACCGTTAATGTAATATATAATGTATAAAAAGGCAAGTCAGGTGATGTTGTCACAATATACGGGGTCAGTTGTCACAATGGAAACTTAATGGGTTTGTCAAGCATATTTTAAGCATTAAAACAATAATGAAACAAAACAATTCATGAACAGCAACAATTCAGCATGCAAAATCACTGACTTTTGACTCCAAGCCTCAGAGTTACTGAGATTTGTGTCAGCTTGCCAAACAATGCAAAAGAATTGACAAAAAACAGACGTTATTTCAAGTTTTGCTTCCAAGCTCAAAAATATAGTTGGCAAGCTAATGAGTCAATGAACTACACTTTTAGAGGAATGAGGATTGGCGTTCACCACTTCAGCCTTCGGGAGTGACAACCTGCAACAAAACAATCCTTAGTATCTGTATATATTATAATTTTTTTTTTATTTGAATGCAACTGAGGGATGTGGCAACAATTATAATACCTTTTTTGTCACTCGACTTGCTGCGTTGTCGTGGAAGAGTGAAGCCAAAGTGGAAAGGCGATGATGATTCAGGAGTCTTCAAAACCTCCTCAAGTTTCTCCTGCTCCTGATTCTCCTTCAGTGAAAGAAAGTTATCCATCATTACGTAGCTTCCTAAATAAAACTGATTCACTTTTTACAGATCCATGCATTGGCCTACTTCTTGCGAGATGTAAGAACTTGTACATTTGATGGATAAAGCATTATTTAAATATATATAGAATTAAATATGCAACATTTAAGTAGGCTATACATCAAATTAACCTAGAATGAAAAGTAGCGTTTCAGGCCCTTATTTGTGAAAAGCGCGCTTTACTTGCATCAGACAGGGTTTGTTGGAGTCTGGGTTTGAGTTCAGGTGTGTTGTGACTGTGCTTCTTCCTCTCTCTCTCCTTCTCTCGCTCTCTCTGTTGAAGGATAGCACTGCGAGTGGCTCTGTACTCCAGAGCAAAGTCACTGACGGTCTTACAAAACACCTCCGCACTCGTTTCTCTAGCCATGGTGCGCGAGTAACCGAGGAAGAGCAGGAATGAGTGGAATCTAAATGCAAGGAAAAAACGAAAAGTGGAGCACTGTTGTGTCTTTGACATTTACAGTTGCTTTTCAGTGACCTTCAGAGGCCCAGATGGACTGCATTGTCAGAAAAATGATGAGGAATGGATTTGAACACTAAGGTTTACACTTATTGGCTACTGCAAGCATGATCAGATGAAATAATATTAAATGAATTAATTAACTATACCAATCAAGAGTTTTGACAAGCTTGATTTAATTTATGTTTTATGACCTTAAAAAATTGTTTGATATAAAATTGACCTAAATGCTTGAAACTGGTTTTGTAGACAAATATAGGTACAAATAAAAATATAAAAATATATATAAATAACACTTAAAAAGCATCCCAGGGTGAACCTCTATATATATGATATATATATATATTTATTTATTTATTATTATTTTTTTGTCAAAAGCTTTTTACAAACAGAAAAAAAAAAAAAAATTATTAAATTTACAACAAAAGACCAAAAAAAAAAAAAATTAAATTTATTTATTTTAATTATTTTTTATTTTTTTTTGAAAAGGGACAATGCACAATTTTAACATAAATATTTCCATTTCATGCATTGTACCGAATTTAGCCAATGGCTAATTTTCATCTGCAGTCCCTTGGCAGGTAATGACTAACATAAAACATAAAAAAAACAAACGCATGCAGTAAAACATACATATACATACATACACATAATATACAATAAATATAATGTCCAGTTAAACCACAGCCATGTTTACAGAGTTGAGTTGATTTTAAATAAGATTTTAGTTTAAATTTAAAAAGACCAATAGATATTTTGCAGCTGAATCTCAGCATGTTGTGGTAACTAACTGGTTTTACCTGTTGATGACCCTGCGGTGAACGGCTCGTAGCACCTTCAACCTCTCCTCACAGTCTTTCAGAAACTGCGTGAGCCGCTGATGGAGCGCTGCCTCTTCTCCGCCTTCCTCTTTTCTTCCTCCACCTTTCTTTCCATCTTTCTCAAGTAGTCGGAGTTGATCCCAGGATGCTTTGCAAAGCAATTGAAGCTGCGAGAGATTCAGCTGCACTTGTGTGTAGTCGCACTAGCCATCAGCGTGTGATTGTTTATCAGAGACAGGAAAAGAGAGATAAAGACAAGAAAAGGAAACACAGTCACTGAGAAACATGTTCAAAACAAGTATAAATTAACTGGATATCAGTCAAACATCTGGATTAATTTACAAAAAGTCTATGCAGTTTTACCAGTCAAAGCTCTTGTCCTCATTTAATATTTTAGTATTTTCCATTATTTAGAATTATAACAAAACAATCAAATCTAAACAGAAAATAATAAAGTAATCAAATTTGAGCTTCTGTTTTGTCTAGATAGCTATGGATTTAGCTCTATTCACTCTGAACGCTCTCTCAACAAAGTTCATGAGGCAAATACCTCGTAAACACTTCTAGTTTATTTAGTATTGGACATAGCCGGAAAATGACTCGCTGTTGAGGCCACATTCAGTGCATAGTGCACAATATGCTACAAAACATAGCAACATACCTTGCTGGCTTTTGAGACAGCAGTGATGTCGGAGTACAGATCAGAGGATTGTGGGTAAAGCTGGAGCAATAGCACACAAACGTGATGAAGAAGAGGCTGCCGGCCTTGTGTGTCTCTCACCTGAGAGAGTTTGCCCAGGTAACTCAACTCAAACCCCCTCGCCTGTGCAAAACACACATCATCATGCAATGGGGCGGGACAGTTATGATTGTGAACACATTTTTATACAGTCATTCTCACCTTACAGCCGTTCAGAAAGTTGCCGACGGCCAGCACAGTCGGCTAAGGACCTAACAGAGGACAGAACACACGGAGCATGCACACACACGCACACACACACACACACACACACACACACACACGGAACAAAGATGCACAAAAACAAACAATATAAATAACCAGTGTTGGGGAAAGTTACTTTTAAAAGTAATGCATTACAATGTTGCGTTACTCCATAATCTAAAAGTAATCTAATTACGTTACTTAGTTACTTTTTATGGAAAGTAATGTGTTACGTTACTTTTTAAATCTGGACAGGGCTTGCTTGTTATTTTTTTAAATAAAAAAGTTATATTTTTTGGCATATATAAAAAAGCCTTTTCACACCAAAAGTGAAATGAATAAGCCTCAGATTTAATTATTGCAGGTTTGCGTCATATTCTGAGTTGCATTATTTTTATTCATTTTGAGGAATACTGAATCTGTGTTTTTTTGTGTGTGTGTGAGTGAGATGAATTAATGCATATTCATATTTATTTTAGAAATACAGTACCATCTTCTGATTTCTCTCAACATGGGGACAGGAGAGCTGTCAATCAATAAATTGGAGAAAACAAGTAACTTGCTTTACTTATTTGAAAAAGTAACTCAGATATTCTCTTGTAAATTAAAAAGTAATGCGTTACTTTACTAGTTACTTGAAAAAAGTCATCTGATTACGTAACTCGCGTTACTTGTAATGCGTTACCCCCAACACTGCAAATAACCAGACATGACAGAAAACATGAGCATAAAAGTCCTGCGATAAACCTAACGGAAACATGAATGAGATGATATGAATTCATACCAATTAGACACAGTAAAAATTGGTGTTGGATTTACTTTAAAACAATTATCTTTCAGAAATTGCTAGTAAATTTCAAGAAACGTTAAGTAACATTGAATTCATTGTAACATTTTTAAGTAGAAAGACTGGTGTAGTATTTTCTTGTAAAATGTACTCTGAAAAACTTAAAAATCTCCAAAACATAAAATAGTTACAAGTGTGTTGGATAGTTAATAATGAATAATTTTGAAGTTGAGAATATTTTTTTCCCACCTGAAAACAAACCATGATGTCCGAGACTAGGGGTACGTTTACTTGACAACAATGTACTAAAAACGGAAAAGTTTTCTTTTGCGTTTTTGAAAGGTTTCGCGTACAGACGACAGTGTCCTCAAAACAATCCCCATTCACACAGATCTGCGAAAACGACTAAAAATACTGTATTTTGCATGCCAGTACGGTGACGCATTGCATATTTTTTCCACTCAATTATGTCGTAATATCGAGATCTTATGTCGTTTTTACGACATCTTTTCTCGTAATAGCGAGATGTTATGTCATTAAAATGACATCTTTTCTCGTAATAACGAGATGTTTTCTCATTAAAACGACAAAATTATCTCGTTAAAACGACATTTTCTCGTTAAAACGACATTTTCTCGTTAAAATAATATTTTCTCGTTAAAACGACAGACATATTTTTCTCGTTAAAACGACATATTTTCTCATAATAACGAGATGTTTTCTCGTTAAGACGACATCTTTTCTCGTTAAAAAGACATAATTATCTCGTAAAAAAACGTAATCTTTTTCTCATTAAAACGACATCTTTTCTCGTAATAACGAGATGTTTTCTCGTTAAAATGACATCTTTTTCTCGTTAAAATGACAGCTTTTTGTCTCTTAATAACGACATGTCATAAAAATGATATGTTGTTTCCCGTTATAGAAGATATGGTTACATTATGTGAGCGAGCTAAGCGATTGTCCGCGCTGCTGTCGCCACAGTCCGGCGATAAACGAAGATCTGCATTTTAATGTTATTGTTTTTATTGTAGCGGCATGTTTATTAGGATTAATCTCCAGTCTGTATAATGCTATCCAATAATTGCACTCTGGTCTTGGAATATTTCTTTATTTGAATGTCTTGATGCCGCTACAATAAAAACAACATTAAAATACATTTAAAAAAGTGTATTTTTATTATCCACTTCAGCAGCGTGCGGATCCTCGTTTATCGCCGGACTGCGACAGCAGCGCGGCCAATCGCTTAGCTCACTCACATAATGTAACCATATCTTCTATAACGGGAAACAACATATCATTTTTATGACATAATATGTCGTTATTACGAGAAAAAATATGTTGTTTTAACAAGATAATTATGTCGTTTTAACAAGAAAAGATGTAATTTTAATGACATAACATCTCATTGTTACGAGAAAAGATGTCGTTTTAACGAGAAAAGATGTCGTTTTAACGACATAACATCTCGTTATTACAACATAATTGAGTGGAAAAAATAATATGTGTGTGGCAGCAATGCATCACCATATGACAGCCCTATAGTTGGCGATGTCAAGAAAAGATGTCGTTTTAACGACATAACATCTCGTTATTACAACATAATTGAGTGGAAAAAATAATATGTGTGTGGCAGCAATGCGTCACCATATGACAGCCCTATAGTTGGCGATGTCACTTTGTAAAGAAACACTAAGTTTGCATTTTCGTTTGTTACTATACGGTTATATAAATTGCTGTAAAAGTTTCAGGTCAGTTTCAGCACTGCCGTGAGTTTGCACTGACAAACACTCTAACTGTAAGAAGTGTAAGTCCTCTCTCTCACTCTCTCCAGTGTGTCATGGTCCAGAGTGAAGGCCCAGAGCTGCAGTCTGGTGCTCAGATGAGGAACGTTCCCCAGGGTCAGGAGACATTGCTCTGCGGGGCCCAGAGGTGACCGCGGGGCCTGAGCTTTTGCCTCCTTTATCAGATTCAGCTCGTCTTCAGTGGGAACCAACATCTGCAACCTCTGCACCACAGGAAAGAGGAACATGTCAATGAACTCTCATGCTTTCATAGCAGACTGCCTCATGTCACTGTTGCTGTAATCTGTCATGTGCATTAGTGAAGAGTTTTAGTCATGCGTGTAGATTTTAAACTCATGTTGACTTTAAAGTGAACAGCGCTGCAGGGAACACACCTGGATGTCTTCTCTGTCTAGTACAGTGTTGTCCATGCTGCATATTGCAGGAGGAAGCAGGTGAACCAGTGGCAGACTGCTCAGAGCTATAGTAATGATGTTACTGCGCTTCACACCCAAAACAGACACACACGGCTGCTTCTGCGGCACAGAAAAACAGAGAAAGAGATGTGGAGCACAAATGCTGAAAACTTTAATACTTGTTAGAGGTAAATATTCACCTCATCCAGAGTTATTTTGTTTACTGTTTTATAAAGTATACTACGTATATTGTGGAAGCCCATATCTGCCACATAAGAAAAAATAAAATCATGCTTTGGTTAGTTATACTATAATTATGACTTTTAAAGTCATAATTATGAGATGAAAAGTCAAAATTGAATCAAAGTGAATCACGAACAGTTTCAGACCGTTGTGCAAACCCATTATACTGTTTAGATCAAATGAGTGATTCATTAGAGAATCTCTCTGCTGAAAAAAAAACAAAAAAACAAAACGGCTAAAACCAGCCTAAGCTGGTGGGCTGGTTTTAGCTGGTCTTCCAGCCTGGTCATAGCTGGTCAGCAGGCTGATTTTAGAGGGGTTTGGCCACTTTTTTAGCTGGTCAGGCTGGGAGACCAGCTAAAACCAGCTACTTCCAGCTTAAACCAGCTAAGACCAGCCAACCAGCTCAGGTTTTAGCAGTATTTTTTTTTTTCTGATTCTGAACAACTGATAAAAATACACATACTTAATTGCTGAAATAGTATCAGTGAAAATTATTCTCAGGCCCATATATGGTAATCTTCATTGACATAAATATTTGTCAGTAATTATGGTTGCCTATGCACATTAAACATTGAAGGCTTACCTGTCGTCCCCCTGTCAGACTGCAGAGGGCGCTGTTGTTGCTGATTTTGCTCTCAAACAGGTATTCCAGTCTATTGGTATCCAGTTGAACTGGCTCCAGACCGGCCCAGATCGACTGAAGCCCGAAGCGGCCCACTCTCGGCAAAGGCTGCAGACTCAACAGCGCGCTCCAGTGGAGCCTCAGAGTACGACAGCCTGACGGCCGCGGCGACTCGCTGGCTACAGGTGGGGGCGGAGCCGAAGGGGGAAGGGGTGGAGCGACGGGTGAGGTTGCAATCTGATTGGTCGAAGTATGGGAGGAGACTTCTTCAGTGCTGTCCAACTCAAGATCCTCATCATCCCATAAGTCGGAGAAGTCAAGAGCGTTGAGGCGGAGCAGAGGGGCGTGTCTTACGTGGGAAGTCCAGGAGGTGTCTAGAACAGAAGATTCGGCTTGTTTCATTGGATATTCTTGGTGATTTACTTTCGAAGCACTTGATCAAAGTAAATAAGTGTTGTGCAGAATGACGCCTACGTGGTTCTTCTTCTCCAAATAAACACAATGACCAAATATCCAGTCTCAGTATACTTAAAGAGTCCAACAGGTATGGTTTACCTCAATAAAAATGATCAGTGTCCATTCATAGTTGCATCATGAACATGCAACCCCTCTTGCTGTTGGAAGATTTCAAGAAATGACTAAAAATGAAGAACCATATGTCTCCATGAATTCGAGAAAATCGGCTAAAGATGATCCATCAAGAACGTGCAGGAGGACATGCAGCGGTGTTTCAGACGATGCAGCTCCTCTGAGAACCTCCACTGTAGCTTTAGGTGTAAAATTCAGTCGACTTTGCGCTTGCATCAACATCTGTCTGACGGCTCACATTAAAGAGCACCAATGCATGTCAGACGGTTTCTCACGCTCGGTTGAGGTTTGCATTCTTCAGGTTTGATGCTGCAGGATTTCAGAAGCTCTCCGGTGAATCTCCAGGCGAAGTTGTTGCGTTTTGGGATTCTACAAGAGGTCAAATGCTATTGAATCCTTTCAGTGACCAGTATTTGTGAGAGAGACACTCCGTCTGCGTCCCAGACGTTGTGAGGCGTCGTATAGACAGAAAAGAGTGCGTTTGTTTGAGTGTTTATTTGAGTTGCGCCCTTTCCCTTAATTTCCTTATCTCTCCAGCATCTCCTGTTTATATCGTTGCTTCTGTACACACAGCTTCACGATCTCTCTGTCTCCACCCTTTCGCTCTCTTTCAGTCTCCCCCATGCTCTCAGTTTTCCCTAATGACATGCCTCTTTATTCCTTTGAGAGTCGGTCCATTCTGGGACTGAGATTGCATTTTGATCATACAATCGTCAGTCATCACTATTACTGCCGCTCATGCATGATGGTTAGGGATCTAAACAACGCTCCAAGCATTATTAGTTTGAATGATTCTTCAACTCATGTGTCTTGTGCTGGTACTTCACCAAGTGATCAGATGCACCATTTTCATCTCCTGGACAATAAAACAGGTGAAACAATCCCACAGATGCACACTGAAGGTTGCTTGCTATCTTAAAAGTCAGCTAAATAAACTAAAAACATTGAAAAATTCAATTCAAGTTGCTTTTAGAACTGAACTGCCTGGTTGTGTGAAACTAATGCAGAGCAATTTTCCAGTTCAGCTCCTGCAAACACATCCATAAATCTTTGCAGTTTGATTGCATGGTTTTTTGAGACAAACTCTCTTTTATACGGCTGTTGGTGAAGTAGATGCAAGGACTTGCCAGCACTTAGCAACCATTTGGATTGACGTTTATAGTGAAAATGCAGAGTTTTTATCTACAACCATACGATTTCTTTACTTTACTGCAATAAAGCACAGATACAGATATAGACATATGTTAGAGAATGTTTGCTGAATTTCTTTTTTTTCTAAAGCACAACATATATTTTTTTTAACATCAGTGTTTTTATTGTTAAAACTATTAATCAATAATTTTAGTTCATTAAAATAAATCTTAAACAAAACAAAACAAAACATCAATATTAGATGAAAAACTTATACTTAAAAAATGCCATTAAAATTAGAAGTACTAAAATTAAATGACATGAATACTGAACATATAAATATTAATAATTACTATAACAGTTTATAAATAATACGAAAATTTCACTGAATGGCACAATGCAGCCTTTCTGGGGATTCTCTGTTATTTTACAATCAGTGGGCTGTTAAACAAATTACGTCTCATGTGGCCGTGTCTCCAAAAGCTGCTTATGTTTGTTTGTAGAGCCGGGGGCAGGGCTGGATGTGGTCCATATTAGTGTTTAATGATGTTTAATTAGCTCGAGAGGGCAATCCCAGCTACGTGTGTCCTTCAGCTGCTAGACTTAAATATGTCTTTCATTTTTCTCTCTCTTTTTTCTATTTATTAGAGTCCTACTGATTCTCAGATGATTCTGCCCAGTAGGATAAGTTCCAAATTATGACACAAATTGCATTAGTATACATTTAGGATCTATATTTATTTATATTTATGTTTTAATGTTTTCAAATTTTGATGTTTTATAATATATATTTTTTCCATTTCCATTTTTTTATTATTATTTTTTTTTATTTACTTTTTTTTTCAAGTGTAAATAATTTAAGTTTATTTCTTTTGCATCTAATTTAAGCTTACTTGTAATTGGGAAGGTTACTTTGGAAATGTAATAGGTTACAGATTACAAGTTACCCTATTTAAAATGTAATAAGTAGTGTAATTATTTCAATAACTTTATGAAATTATGATTACATTTGATTACTTTTCTAAATTTCTAATGGATGTTTTCAACTGATAATCATTTTCACACATTTAAAGCAGGCCGGGTTAACCTTACAGAAGCGCTCAACACTGATTACTGTTAGACTTTCAGAATCCTTCATCACTTGAATTAAGATGATAATTATTTAATTTTAAAGCACAGCCGCCACAGAATCAAACTTTAGCAGCTCCTTTTACTTTGAGCTCGTTCTGCGGTTAAATACAGATTTAAAATCATAACAAGATATAGTTTAATACAGGGCTGCCCAAACTCAAAAAAGTCAATCGTCCCTTTAACTCCTCCCACATCAACCCATTCCCCGCCCACTTTCAGAAATCCTCCTCCTAAACTTTAATAGCTATGATACTGTTTAGGAAATCAAATCTTTGCATAGTGACAGGAAACATCTAACAGTGCTTTGGGAGAAAAAAACAAAACCGTTAATCTTAAAAAAAAAAGCATATACATGAACCAAATAGGAAATAAAACAGTTATGGAATAAGCACATGTCCTATTCTGTTACCTAAATAAGACACAGTCCTATCTGTCTCCTGAAACTTCGGTGTCTCACATTGTAGAGCAGTCAATGCAATTTGGGGAAGAAATCCATAAAATCTGTAAGTGTGTGAAAATATTCAGATGTAACACCCTTTGTAATTATTAACATTTTGGTAATGCAATTTAATTACACTTTTTTTTTTCTCAGTAACTGTAACAGATTACAGTTACATTTATTTTGTAATTAAATTACGCAATTCCGTTACATGAAAAGTTACTCCCCAACACTGCTTATAATTCAAGAGTATTTTATTTATTTATTTATTTATTTTATTTTTTTGCTCCGAGAGTCACTTCATGAGCGTTTTTTTTATATTATTATTATTATTATGCTTTAAACGACATATACAAAACAATACAAAGCCAGGGTAACAAAGGATAAAAGAAAAAAAAAGGGGGAAAAAAAGGGGAAAAAAAAAAAATATATATACAATCAGAGACATGCATGACCTTTACATTACTCAAATATTTTGAAGATAGAACACAAACTGACAGTTTTAATTGCCTTTCTATTAGTACTATGTTGAATAGTACACAAGTAATTTTCCAACTCTTTAAAAAACACTGTAAAACAGGGTTTTTTGTTACACTTATGAATGTGAAACGTAACCAACAAAATAAATAGACTAATAACAAAAACTTCGTTATTTACATTATCATAATGAAAATATCCCAAAACGACATTTTCGAAATGCAAATTAAAATTAAAGAGTACATTTTCTTTGATATACATAGAGACATCCTACCATAACTTTTTAACATAACTACAGTGCCAGAAGATGTGGGGTACAGTTTCCAAGTGCAAAGAGCAAAAAGAGCAATTAACATCAATGTCCTTCTTAAACTTACTGAGAACATGTTTAACAGAATAGAATTTATGAAATATGATGGAAGCTGCCATCTTCACAAACATTCGATTGGTCCTTCGGAACGCCGGACGTCATCTGCGCCACCCCCCACCACGGGGGCTTATTATTCCACGAGCGACTGACACCGAAACTACAATGTCAAACATTTTCGGGACACCGAGCGCTTCCGTGTTCGGGAAGGACCCGTCCTGATTTCGTAGCATACGCGCAAAACCTACGGACAATCAAATGATATTTCTGGAAGCTGAAGGTTGAGCTGATGTATCATCTTTCAGACAAGGTAAGCCAGGAGTGTCCACTTTAAGAAGTTCGCACACCGCGGTTTTGTTGCGCCGATAACGAACGATCTGTGCCATTTGCGCGTGCTTATTCCACACGCAACTCTTAGTTTTGCTGTTTGTTTCGCGTGTTTACAATGCCTTTAAATGACTGACAGCACCCTTATGTTTCAGCTAATCGGACGTGTTGCGAAATTGAAATAAAGTGTTCTCGAAAGACGAAAAAAATACGTGCGAAATATCTGCGCGCTTCGAAGGAATAAAATACGTGGCCCTTTATTACGTAATGAGCGCGCGGGGCCAGATGCGGGTGGGATTGAGCTGAAATCATCAATGCTTGCTTTTCCTTGTAAAAGATGCTTAGAATAGAAATAGAACTGTAGATTGCGCTGAGTACAAACGCGCATTTCTAAACCAGGGGTTCGGTTTCCGACAGCTGCACAATTCTCCAAAGTGATGGTGCAACCACTTCAAAACACTTGTCACGCTCGTCACTGCCAGCGCAGTGCTTCAGAATAGGATTTGCATTAGAACCAATATATGCATTGGACATAAAAATCCAAAAGTTTATAAGTCCATTATAATGCGTTTAGATGCACTCTTGTTATTTGCGTTCAGCATGATGTCCCTCTGCTGGAGAGCACACTGGCGCTCTGCATGTGCTGTAAATTCGAGTGGAAGCGGTTCTGTTGGTGCAGCGTTTCTTTATTTATCCCTCACCTCGTGTAGGTGGAAGTGTGAGTGAGTCAGGGAGAGATGGAGGTGATTAGAAGAAAAGACTCCGACTCAAACGGCCTGCTCTCAGACAACTCGGAGAATGGCTGTGAGGTATGAACCTCATTATTGGGAAGGTATGAGTGTCATTATTGGACCTGCACATGTTCAACTTCTCTTTCTGTATGTAGGACTTGGGGGCTCGTGGGCAGACGACTGGAGTGTGTTTGTGTGAAAATATCCCCTTTACCACCTTCTGTGATCAGCACCCACAGGAGGTGAGTGTTTGCATATACATGCATTTATGATATATTCAAAATTTGGGGTCAGTAAGATTTTTTTTTTTTTAAAGAAATGAATA